TTCAGGAAACAAATGCACGAATTAACGGAAAATGAAAATAGACCGAAAGAGCGAAGGCACAGGCAGACAGAGAGAGAGAGCGTAAAAGCGAAATCAGCGCCAGCAGCCTAGATGGCAATTTATGTTAGAGCCTTCAAGAATACATACACACACGCCTACATACATACGTACATGTGTGAGTGTGTGCACTTATTTATAACAGGCCACATTGAACTTGCCGCGCATTGTTGGCTATCTGGCCATTTTCCCGCCAAATTTAACCATGTGTTAATAATCATTAAATCTAGCCTAATTCGTGAAAAGAACCTTTTAATTAATTGTCATTGAAGTGATAGCTGAGCTTAAATGATATTTATTGAATAAACTATTTGCATTCTTCTTTTGCGGCTTTTTGAAGGCGCCTAAGCAGGACGCATTAGGGCAGGGCCAGGGTCATTATTAAATCTAAGCTTTGCTTTTGCATTTGCTTTACCTGACACACACTCACACATGAATACACTCACATACGGAGTCTACCTGAAATTTGTTTGTGGCCTGCTTCAATATTTGCATCCTGTTTCGAGCAAAAACTCGACGTCCTTCTACTCTTCCGCTGAGCAACAAGCGCACACACACACATGCGACAGCATATGGGACATACTCTTTGACCCCCGCCGCCCTCGCCATTGCCCCTTGACCCACACTGCATTGGCTCCTGTACTTGATTTCTCATTCAAAGGCGCATTTGATGGGGATTTGTATTTTGCTTTTTTACTTTTTGTTTTCTTCTATAAATGTTGATCAATGCGAAACGAGTTTGCCTTGAATAGAACGAGAGAGTGAGGGAGGCAGCGGGAGGGGATATGGGGGTGCTGCTGGAATGAAGAAAAGAGTAGCAGCAGCAGCTGCTGCTGCTGCCACACAAGGCGTATGCGTAATGGCCAAGGGATTCGAGTGTCAAAGACAAGGAGATGATTAAATCGAATCGAATGACAATCAAATCGAAGGTAATAAAGAAGCTAGCAGCAAGCGATCGCTGCGCTAGATTAGAGTGCAAAAGCAGTCCAAGGCACAAAAGATACAAAGATGCATAGATACAATGCCCACACACACACAGACACACATACACGCATATGTATGACAGCCAAAAAGGCAGCAGCTAAATGGGGTGAATGGCTGTGATTAGAAGTTTCGAGCCCACAGAACACAGCGCGATGCAAAAGGATGCGCACGCTGCCTGCCTCCTGCCTCCTCCTCGGTCCGCCACCCTCTTGACCACTCCCCGCTCGCTCACTCACTCACTCACTACAAATTGGCAAACGGCTCTCAGTTCTCCGTTCTCAGTTACTCACATATCTGCATCTCTATCGGCAATCTTCAAGTGAACAAACATTAGACGCAGAACGAGGGCAGCAGCCAAATCCTTGCGTATAATTAAAAAAAAAAAAAAAAAAAGAAGATTCCTTCAGGGTGAGGGGGAAGGCGAAAGAAATTCTTGGGTTGGGCTGTGAGAAACTTATTTCGCAAATGCGAACAGACCAAAGGAAATGAGGGAAAATGTCAGAGCCAAGAGCCAACAGCCAGGAGCAATGATAATGGCAACAAAACAAAACAAAGAGGGTACCAAATTATCTAAGGATCAACGCCAACTCAGGCGACGAAACCTGATTATAAGCATCCATATATATATATATTTATTTATTTATTTATAGATATATACAAATTATATATATACATACATATATATCTTTATATACATATGTACATATACATATATAGATCACATGGCAGGCAACCCCTTCACTTTATATACACAATATTTCGGCACATTTTCTAAGCAAACTCCTTGCGGAGCTGCTGCCCTTGCGGCATGTTTTCTTTGCCGGATTAAGCGGAAGGCTACAGAAAAAGATTTCAAGCTGCCTTTGTCTATGTCCATGTGTGTGTGCGCATGTGCATGTGTGTGTAGCTTTTGCTGTTTGCTTTGTGTTTCTATTATTAGAAATTAGTACCATTTTTTTTGCACATCTCTAAGCTAACTAGCAGCGATGTCGACGTTAAAGTCGACGCGAACGCCGACGTCAACGTTGACGCGCAGCTTAGCTCTTGTCGCAACAAGCAGCTTAACATGCGCTCAATATCGCGCATGCGTCAGCGCGTACGCTTAACACAGATACAAGAACAAGAACCAGAACATAAACACGACTACGAAAAGCTTTAAGCACAGCTCAATAAGCTTCGGCTTTGCAGCTGAAGTTGAAGCAATGATAGTCAAGTTCTAGTTCTAATTGTTGTTCTAGTAGCCAATGTATGGAATAGCCCAAGAGCTTTTGCATACACGTAGAAGCTTGTACGAGGAAATACATACATATATCGTAAAGCTTTGCTCAATGATTGCAGTCTGACATATGAGATTCAAGCCAGGTCTAAAAGCTTTGCTTGGCCAAACTTAATCATGATTAATGCTATAGAGCTTTTTAGGCTACTACTTAATTCAAATCAAATATGAAGTCGATTCTTAAATACATTGCGCTATAAAATCAGGATACATGTTGGTTCAACTTTAAAAGTAAGCCTTGGGTAGAGTTTTTAAAGCTGAAGTTGGCCCATTTTGTTTCAAAAACGAATACTTTTAGTCATGGCTAAGAAGATGGCTTGAATAAAATCAATGATGATACATGTAATAACGAAGATCGTTACATATAAAGTTAACTCTTAAAATCTTTGAGTTTGGGTATGAAACCCAAACGCGAAGGCTTCTAGCCATGGCTAAATAATATCAACTCATTATGATTCACCTTAAAATGGAAGCTAATCAAAGAGCTTTAAAAACGGATCGTTAAATAAGAATTAGGCTCTTAAAAGATTTGCTGCTCGTTAAATGTAAATAATACCCTTAAAAGCCTTAATTGGTTTAATAAGCCAACACTTTTAGCGATGTCTAAACAACATCGTATGATTGATCTTAAAAAGTAGGTTTATTATAGAGCATTTATAGCTTTATCTAATTATCATATACAAATATAAAAGAGTTCTTCAAGCGAGAATTGTATTGAAATGGATTTACATAGAAAGCTATTGAATTATATCCAGAGACATCAGGTCCTCAAAGGCAACAACAGGAATAATCGCAAAGCAATCAAGCGTAGAGATAGCCTTAGCTAGTGTTATTTCTGATTAGAAGCTAACAGCACGATCTCTGCAGTTACATATATTCTCTCGTTTTGATGATCTGCTACGATCATTTGATTGAACAAGCTGATCCAGTTTTTTTTTTTTTTTTTTTTTTGCATTTGTTAGAAATGTATCTAAAGCACTAATGCTGATCTGCTTAAAGGAGTTGTCGCTGCACGTGTAGCAGGACCTACAGCGATCGCATTCGGTGATCTGTGCGATCCTCGCTGCCGCTGACGCTGTCACACGCACCATGACAGTTGCCTGGGCTTGGCCGCGAGGGGTGTTGCCTGTTGGCTTGCCTCGCCTTGGCTTGGCTTACCTTGTTGCACAGGTAGATCCTTTTGCTAGTGACCCTATTCCTATTCCTATTCCTCTGCTCTGCTCTGATCTGATCTGGCTCAGTGTTTACTTACACCACTTGAGCTTAACGCGACGGCGCGGCCGGAAGCTGATGAGGGTCGAGAATTCGCTTGAGTTGGGTTTCTTATTTTCTACTTCTTTTTTTTCTCCTTGGGTTTTGGGCCTGAGAGCTTTTTTCTCTGCATTTTTTTTCCTTTTTTTTTTTGGGTGATATGCCCAATTTATCACAGGAAATTAGCTGCTATTTAGCAGCGTTGTAGATGCTCGAAAGGAGGGCCACAGGAAGCCTAAAAGGTAGGCGGCCAAATAGCTGCCGCAGCTAAAATCCTCCTCACACTCAGGCAGCAAGCGGGTGTGCCACACACACATACACACACATACTCATAGTGCGCGGCAGAGGCAAGTTTCATGTTATTTGGCGTGATAATTTGTGCAATTGTGGATTGCCGAGCAGCAACAAGAGGAGCTGCCCCCTCCCTCTGCCCCTGCCCCAGCCACGACCTCTTTCTAAGTCCAGGATCACTTTACTGGTTTGCTAGCTCAGCAATCGATGGACAGGGCTGCGCAGAGGGTGGGGTAAGTTTTAGGGTTTTTTTTTTTTTTTGCTTTTTGGGTTTAGGGTTACGGGTTAGGGGTTACAGCTGAGATAACATACGCCAGAGGAAGCGTGAGGCAAGGCGTAGTTAAAAGGATGTGGCGCCATTTTGAAAGAGTGTCATATATATGTTTGTGTATTTAGAGAGAAAGAGAGGGACAATGAGAGAGACAGCATGTGCATGTAATTATAATATATATTTTAATTGTATAGTATGTATTATACCATAATGTCAAAACATTATGGGATAACCAAAGCATTTTGTGCCCTAAATCTGATAGAAATCATCGACAAATCATAGAGAATATATTGAATGTATTTAAGAGTACAGTAAAGCCTTGCTTATTTGAAAAAACTGCAAGAGCTTCATGTAATATTTCAGACAGTTTAGTTAGGTATTACAATAACAGGCAAGCAGATAAAATTTAACAGACTAATAAGTTTTAATTCGTTTTAGGCAGGTCTTACTGCTTCACTGTAAGCAGATTAAATTTCCTTAAATATGTATAGGCAGTGAAAGAGAGAGAGAGAGAGAGAGATAGACAACGCTACAAAGGTTGACCACAAAAACTACATAGAGAATGCTAAGGACTCTACGGGAAAAGCTTATACACACAACTAACTATGCATGTAAAAGAGAAACAGAGACAGAGAGAAAGAGAAAGCACACATTGATGCAGAAGAAATGATGAACGATATATAATATAATTCATAAAGTTTTGGTATAGATAATGATTTAGATTGAGGTTTATTATTATTGCGTTGATTTGGGGTTGGAGGTAAAAGGTGGGGGTTAAAGGCGGGGGCGTGGACTGGGGGTCGGGCAGTTCCTTGTTTTTCATTTTTGTTTTCTTTTGAGTATTATGATAGAATTGGTTGTGATAAATACCTTGAGGTGCCAGCACCTTCCAATTGCTGCCGATCCAATGGCGGATCGAAGATTTGCTCGCGATCCTCTTTTGATAATTCCAAATCGGCGAATTGATCCAGTTCGGAAGCCATCTTTAAAAAAACAACTGTACCTACTGCTTCTGCTGCTTGAATTTGAGTCGCGTTTGCTGCTGCGCTTGTTCTTCTTGTTGTTGTGTTTAGTTTTTCCTTGTAGCTTGCTTTGATGGGATCTGGATCGGGGCTACTTTGCGCAGGATAATTCTTGAGAGCACGTTTTTATATATATATATGAATATATATATATCAATATAGGATAGATAATGGCAATTGTGTTCGTTTGGTTGTTATTATTATTATTTTTTTTTTTTTTCGTTGATCTGACAACTCTTTGGCGAAAAACAAGTCACGTTTCGCCTTTCGAAAAACACTGAGGAATTTTGGATTTAGTATAATTTGTATTTGATCTAGAGAGTTTTGAGTTCCGTTTAAAGTTTTCGCAGCTCGAATTTAGGTCGTGGAATGCTTCAAAAGGACGTTTCGCTATTTGAATTTTGGCGCTTAGGTTTTGCATTGACTCATGTCCTTGTGTCGGTTTCTGTTCTCTTTTGTTTCGTCGCTTAAAGGTTTTTTTCGCTTCTGGTTTCGAAACCTAACAGAAATTTTGTTGGACTTTTCTAATTCTTTTTTAACAGTTGTTTTAATTTGATAATTATTATTGTTGCTGTTGCATTGCTTGGTTTTATTATTCCCGCGCTTGATTTGATATATTTGTATTGTTCTTTATTTTATTTCGGTTTTGATGTCTTTTTTAAAAGTGAATTTTGAAGAAAAACTTTTTGTTGTCGTCCGAAATCAAGAAAAGAAACTGTGTGATTGGCCGAATTAGGTGAAAACCTGAAACGTAGGAAGAAATTTAAAAATGAATTAAAAATGCGATTTTCTTTAGAAAATATCCCTAACCAATCAAATAGCTAACTAAAAGCTTTGCTCTTTTATGTTAAAAGCTCATTTGACATACAGATTCGAGAGCGTGCATGTGTGATCAGAGCATATAAAATGGCAGAAAAATTGGCTAGGCCATGCATACTCAGTCATACAATGCAGGCGAATGCGATAGCAATATGAAAAGATGCAGAATAAAAAGACACAAACAATGGTAGCTACGTGAAAGCTCAATCTTGAGCCACCCCCTACATTGGTGTGTGAGTGAGAGAGAGAGTATGCGCGCAACAGCTGTTACAACGATCAGAGACCGGCCGGCCGGTAAGCAACACGTTGCAACACATGTTGCTGGCTTACCAACCAGCGAGCGAGTGAGAGAGAGAGCAAGCGACCTGCAAAGCTTTTGCCATTGCTTTTATCATTAGCCAGCAGCAGCAGCAGACGCCATTGAGTGGGCGCACGCTGAGCGTTAGCCGCACTACCATTAAAAGAGATTTACGCGTGAAATACTAAGAGAGAAAGCTTTGCATCTGCTGTCGACGCTGTCGTTGTCGTCGCCGTCGTCGTCATGTTGACTTTGATCTTGGCCTGTGTGTGTGCGTTGGTGTCTCTTTTTTGGCAATTGTTTTTGTTGTTGGCATTTTTTTGTTTGTGTGGTGAATAAGTAGGCAAAACGCAAAAATCACGAAAGCAACACAAAAAAAAAAAAAAACAATTTATTTCACGCAAAAAAATATACATACATATATACGAAAAGACAAAATAGAACAGCCCAAAAATGGCAAAAATAATTATTATGCTATTTTGTGTGTTTGTTGTAAATACGCTTTCGACTTATGTATTTATTTATTTATTATTAATTGCTTACTTCGCCGATTGCAATTGTAGTTGATTCTGTTGTTTTTGTTGCTGCCGCTGTTTGTTGTAATTTATTTCCTTTTCTTTTTTTGCTCAGATGATGTCAGAGCGTGTTTAAAAAAACTTTTTTGTGTTTGTTATTTCTGCTTTGACTTTGTATTTTGCATTTGTTTTTTTGACTTTGCAGCGAGCGTCTTCTGAATTATACATGCGGTTTTTTTTGTTTTTGTCGGTTTGTTAAAATTATGTAAAAATTAATATAACGAGATATTTCAATTTTGCATGCAATTGTTTGTCACTGAATCAATAAAAAAAAAAAAAATAATAAATAAATTAAAAAAAAAATTAGCAGTTAAAACTGGAAAAGGCAAAACACAGTTTAAATTAGTTGGTTTTTCTTTTCTTTTTTTTTTTTTTTTTTTTTTTTTAGATTTGTAAAGGAAAAGGTACACTAACACGCACACACAAAGCTGCGGGCGGCAAATACGCGCACGCACTCACACATATGCAAGCACATACACACACGCACACATAAACAAACAACAAAAAATATGCCACGAAAAGCAGCAGCAGCAGCAACGGTAACGGCAGCAACGACATCAAAAAAGCAAAAGCTGCTGCTGCCCCGCCCTCTCTCTGCTTGCCCACTATGCTGCGCCCAGCGACGACTATCCCCGCTGTCCCCCGCCAACGCGACAACTACTTTACTTTTGCTTCTTCTTCTTCTTCTTCTGTTGTTGCTAATTATAAAACGTAACAGAAATAAGTACAAGTTTAACGGTAATCATCTTTCCTTTACTTTCTTGTCCAAGTTGTTGGCAAATTTGTAAAATAACATTGCAGCGCTCAAGCATTGGTATGTGCGTACATACGTATGTGTGTGTGCGTGTGTGTGTTATTGGCTTTGAATGATTTTTGCTTTTCCACCTTTTTAATGTTCGGTTGTGTGGGACCTCGTTTGATTTGAACGTTTTGTGCGCGCTCTTTATTTTATTTCATTTCATTTTTTTCTTTTATGTTCTTCTTTTTTTGCTTTTGCTTACGTTTAGGAACGAACGAACGAGTGTAGAAGCAGCAACAGCAGATCAAGATCACTTTGCGGTTTCTCGAAAATTGAAAATAAAACTATTTACGAACAAACACAACAGAGGAAAAAAAAACAATGAACGACGGCGGCGGCAACGACGGACACGTTAATGCATATTTCAACTTTTATTTGCGTTTCGTTTTTTCTTTTTGTTTTTTATGCTTTGCCTAAATGCCGAAAATATTTTTGCCAATAATGCTTTTTGACGACCTTCTTTCTGCTGCGACGTTCCAAATACAAATGACGGAAAGGAATTGTGCTTCCAAAATGACTAAAATGACCGAACGACAACGACGTGAATGCTTCATTCTGGTGGCGGTCGACGCTGCCGTCGCTAGCGACAGAGGCAGAGGCAGCAGCAGCAACAGCAGCGGCACCACCAGCAGAAGAAGAGCACAATAAGCGTGAGAGGGAATGCGATAGAGTAAAAACGGACTCAACAACGCCAGCTAGCGCTGCCTAACAGAGCATTGAGTGCGTAAAATTTATCACTTAACAGTTCCACTCAAGTATATTTCGGCCGCCAACGCTCTGCCGCTGCCTTACCCGAAATTCCTATGCTCAATTCTCACACACACAAGCACAGCTACACACGCTGTGCCAGCCGCAGTGGCAGCGACAGAAGCAGCAGCAGTAGCGACAGTGAAAACGACAGCATCGACCGCGACCGCATTCAAGCGAAAGACAACACAACAACGCTCACTAGTATTTGCTCTCATATGTGTGCCTGAGTATGCGAGTGAGTGTGAGTGTGTTGTGTGCTTTTGCCGAAATTTAATGAGAGTGAGTCGAAAAAGAGAACGAGCAGCAACGCCAAATTTAGCAAACCGAGTGACTTTAGTTTTGGGACTAAATACAGAAATCTCAAGCTCAAAATTTTAACTCAAATTTGACACAAAGCTAAAACAATTCGCAGAACCAAAATACCCAAATTAATAATTTATGTAATGATGTGATTGAATTGAGTTAAATAAAATAAATAGCATTTGGCAAGAAGATTTCATTTCTGGTTGAGCTTCAGAGACACTCAAACCATGGGACTCAGACATCGAGTCGACTAAAGACTTGAAGCTGTGACGGTGAGTCGGGACTCGGTCTCCGACTCGGAGTCGAGATACGGAGCCGATTTGCGACTCAAAAACGGGGCGCGCAGCCTGGAACTGGAAACGGGAGCTTTGACCACGTATTGGGAATATAGCATGTGTGACTGTATGTGTGTGTGTGTGTGTGTGAGCAGATGCTAGGATTATGTAGCGCTACGTCGCTGTCGACGTTGGCGTTGCCAAAAAATTTAATGCGGCGACGTCGTCGTCGACGACAACGGCATCGGCAGCGGCATCGGCAACAGCAACAGCAACAGAAACGGCGACGGCGACGATGGCGGCGCTTAAGCTCTAAAAAGAAAAAGGAAGCAGCAAAGGAAGTGAACTGTGAGCACTGTGTTTCGAGCTGTTAGCACCGAAGGCAAATTGAACCTCATATATGTATGTATTTATGTATGTGTACATATGTATGTCTATACATGCAGACGTATGTATTTTGGAATGTGCGAATAAAAAATAGAATACATATGTATGTTGACAACGAATGTGCTCGACCCACACATACCCATTAAGAGCGTACATTGACAGATTCAATAGATTTTCATTTCCAGTCTATTGCTCTTAGCATATAGACCCGCTCAAACTGCACAACAACAGGGTATTCAACAGCTGAAACTCGTGTGCGATTGCCAACAAATATAATAAAACAACAAAGCTATGCAAGAGGATAGCGCTGCAGCTAAAAAGAAACAACTTTCAAGATTGTATCTAAACACACACACACACACACGCACACCCAGCCAGATATATATATATATATATATATATATATATATATATATAGACAAATATGTGATGCATACATACACACGTGCATACAATACACACATATTAAGTAATTGATGAGTTATTGAATTCGTTTGCCACATAGCAAAGTAAAGGAACAGGAATAAGAATGAGTATATAGTACATATACAAATACAGATATATGTGATAAATGTTTGTACACATAAATAATATATGAGACTATTAAAAAATTAAAAATGTTTAATACATGACTTAATATCAGAATATAATTATCTATGTAAATGTATTTAAGACTTTTACAAAATACCATTTAGAGGCCTAACAGTTGTTCCAATCAAATAAATATTTATTACTTTCATAAAAATGCCTTTTATATGATATATATATATATGTGTGTGTTCTTTTACTAAACATTTCTATATGCATTTAAAACAGTTTAATTTTAATTTTAATTTTTTCAAATGCTTTTATTAATATTTAATACTTATTTTTTTGTTACCTACGAAAATGGTATATATGTATGTATGTATGAAATTTTAAAATTAATTTAATATTTGAAATATTATATAAATATTATTATTTAATATATTTTTGCATATTTTAATTTACTAGTATTTTTATTAATAATTTATTGTGTGCGTGAATTTTTATGTATTGATTGAATGCATTACATTAATTAAATTAGGTTTCAGATTTTAGTTTTGCTTAGAGACTAAAATAAATTATTATTATTATTCTGGCAGTTCTTTAACTTTGGCTGCTTCTTCGTACTAAAAAATTAAATTTCTAACTTGCTTAAATAACAATTAAATTTGTAGTCTATAATGATTTAATTGAAAAGGATATAAATACTAGCAATAAATTTGTTAAGGTTTCCAAGGCAATAGTTGAATATTAATTAAATGAAACTATATATGTATGCATGTATATATGTATAATTTAGTGCATGTATGTATATATTAATGTATGTATCTATTATAATTTATAAATAAATCATATTTGAGAGTCGCTCAAGAAGTAGATTACAAGAAATCGGAATGGCGTTCAAACGCCCATGGAGGCGTGGCACTAAATAAAGCATTCGGGTTATCTTGAAATTGGAAATTATTGCTGCAGCAGTAACTAATAAATGTGAGAATATGAGGAACAAGGATAAT